TATCAAGGGGCACAGAAATGCTGGGGAGGGTGAGGGGTGGGAGAGGTGGCCTGCCGTGGGCAGAGGGGAGACGGGCAGGGTGGGGCAGGGGGACTGTTATGGACAGAGGGGCCAAGGAACCTAAGCCCACGGGCGTGGGGGCTGGGTGGGGGAAATGACCCAGGATGATCCTGGCCCAAATTCCTGGGGCTTCGGCCTCAAAACTCAAGTTGCTGAGCTGGAAACAGAAGGAGTCAGCCCTGGGCACCTGCGCCACAGTCCCCGCTAGGTGCGGCCAGGCCATAGGCAGCGCATGGGGTGGGCCCCCCTCGCAGGGCCCCGTGAGCCATGCAGAGGCTGTGACCCGTCCGCGCAAGTGGGCAGCAGGCCTGGCTCACGGCGCCCCCTCCCCGGCCCTGCAGATCCTGGCTGCCCTGGAGAAGGATGAGCAGGCCCGGCGGCAGCGGCTGCGGAGCAAGCTGGAGCAGGTGGTGGACACGATGGCCCTGAGCAGCTGAGCCCCGGCCGGTGACCGCCCAGTGGGAGGTGGAGCCAGAGGGCAGCCCCGCCCCAGCTGTGCAGAGTGCCCGGGCGGCGCTCGGGGCCGGGCGTGAGGTCCAGCGTCCTCTGGGCCTTCCCTTCCCCTCCCACCCGGCGGGGGTCCGGGTTTCTGTTGGCGTGGATGCGATGGTGCCTGCTGCACCGCTCTGTGCCCAGACTGGCCCAGGACCTTTGCTGTGGCCTGGTGGCCTTCATGGGAGAATGGGGCAGCCTCCGAGGAGCAGAGGGGTGAGGCTGGGCCCCTCCAGAGCGAGGGGCAGCCAGCCTGGTCAGTGTCGTTGAGGCCAGGACGAGGAGCCGGGGCGCAGTTCCCAGCTTCCCGAGCTGCGCATCCACGGAGCCCGAGGCGCGGGCTGGCGGCCGGAGGGAGAGGCAGGAGGACCAGGGCCGTCCGAGACGAAGCGGAGGCCGGGCCGAGCGCCGCCCATCTTCCCCGTCCAGCATCCTCACGCTCGCCGCACCGCCATCCTCAGATTCACCGCGTGCTCTGCGCGGCCAAGGCCACCGGAGAGAGGCCCCACCCCTCCTATGGAGGGGCGGCGGACGGCACTGCCCACAGCTCCCGAGGGACTCCCGACGGACCAGGCAGCTCCTCTCTGTCCTCAGGGCTGTGCCTGTTGGAGCCCAGTGGGCTGGGGCTCCGGGTCACAGAGCACGCGTCTGTTATTTATTCTCCCTCCACGCACGGCTCTCGGCAGCTGCCCGCAAGGGTGGGCCAAGCTCTGCCCACCACGGAGCTGATGCGGGCAGCCCCGGCCACCACCACCCCCTGCCCGTCTCCCCTGACCCCAGCATCCCCCAGTGGCTTCCAGTTTGGCATCTCAGCAGCGTCCCGGCCCCCCCAGAGCAGAGACGGCTGGGGACTGGTGTTCTTTGCAAAGGGGAACAAGCGATTGGGCTGCAGGCTGGGTGGTGGGCTGTGACCGGGCCCCCGCAGCCACCCCCGGCCTGGACCTTTGGGGCCGCGAGCGACGGGCGGCTGTCCCCTTGCCCTCCCGAGCGAGAGAGAACACGTTTTTAATAGAAACACACCTGTACATATATATATATGTGTGTGTGCATATAAGTGTGGCTCTGGCCTCGGTCTCCAGCCCCAGTGGGGTGCTGTACAAGTGACTGAAGGAGAAGGAATTTTAAATAAGATTCAGCATACGGAGAAGCAGGCGGCGGGAACGCGCTACCAGAGGGCCCGGGGGACGTCGACCCGCGGCCCACGACCGTGGGGTCGGCTCCTGCCGCACCCCCCAGCGCTGCCAGGGTGCCCAGGGCCCGTGGATTATGCATGATCGTGCTAGCGTTGAGTCTGAGTTGATCTTTTTAAAACTGCAAGTGTTGAATAGTAGAGGTTGTTAGACCCCTTTTTTTATGTTTTTTAATTAATCAGTCACTTGTAAAAGCAAACAAGCGGCCTGGCCCCTTTTCAAGTTCACTTTTTCGATGGTACTAAAGGATTCTCATGGACGTTAAGGGACAGCTAACTGCGGCCAGCCCCGGCCTCAGTGCCCTGGGCCCTGCCCCCCGCCGGCCCTGGCGTCCCTTCCTCCCCAGGCAGCCTGAGCCAGAGTGGACGCCGCACAGGTGGACACCGCGGAGGTCAGACAAGGAGCCCCTGCACTGCGCTCGGGGGCGGGGTGGGGGGATGGGTGTGAAATCAGTGAACTCTGACTCAGGGAGCTCTCGGCCCCACGGCGCTGCAGCAGGGCCGGGGCAGAGCCAGCACCTGGCAGTGTCGTTTGTGATGACTTGGTCGCTCCCAGTGTTGGCCGGGGTTCCCACCCCTGAGCCGGCCCCACCCCCGTCTCTTCTGCTGCTGCCCGCCCATGCCTGGGTGGGAGCCTGTCGCCCCTGAAGTCTTCCCTGGCCTCTGGCTTCACATTGAAGCCCCCAGTTCTTCCAGTCCTTCCTGGCCCGGCAGGGGCTCCGCATCCCCTCTGCCGCCTTTGCCAGAATCCACCTCCAACTGCTGCCCGTCTGTAGGCCTCCTCCTGGCCCCAACAGAGAGCTGGGCCCACCAGGCTGCCCTGTCCACTCGCGTGGTCCAGTTGGTCTTGGGGACGGGCAGCGGCAGGAGGGCGTGCCCGTCTGGAGTGACAGCCGCAGAGCCCACGGTGTCCAGCCGCAAGCACTTTAGCAGTATCTGTTTACATACGCGTTGGTCAAGCCGATTCTAAGCGCACTGCACCCAGGACAGCAGGACTGAGCGTCCCCGCTGGGCCCCAGGTCATGGAGTTAGGCTCCGACTTGTCCTTACCACTAGTTCCCACGGTCCTCCCGACTCTGCAGTGCCCTAAGAGCTGGGCCCCTCTGTCACTCCCCAGTGTCCTGCGGTGGGGACCATGACTCCAAGCCCTGGCGCTGGTCTGGAGGCAGGGCCCCCAGTGGAGCAGGGATGGGTGGTGAAGGCGCTCCCAGGCCCTGCCCCTGCAGTCCCAGAGTCCCCACAGTGACACTCCGCTGGCCCAGACACTGCTGCCGCCACCCTGCTCTGGCCACCTGCTTCCCACAGCGTTGCTCTCCCTGCCCCACACCTGAGCTCAAGGGTGCTCGGGCCGATTCCCTCCTGGGCCTGGGAGCCTGGCTTCTTGATATACCTCAAGCTGGCCCTGCACTCCCAGCCCAGGGCTGCTGGACCCCAGGCCTGCCTCTCCCTGGGCCTGCGGGGCCGGGGGCTGTGGGAGAGGGGGCCCCAGGAACCCAGACCAGACGTGTGCCCCGCCCTTCCGGTTGATCTTGCCGAGAGCCTCCACCCTGGGTCCACCCCAGCTCCGGACGTGACGGCTGCCGCCGTTGGTGCTACATGAGCTAGAGTAGATGTATTTAGAGAGAAAGATATTTTTAAGACGAAGCCCACAATTAGCTGTCCTTTAATGTCCTTTAATGCCCCCACCCAAAAGAAGAGCGACCACTTGGACGGTCTGAGCTGACCTTGGCCGTGGCTTCTCGCGGAAGCCGTGGAGCCGCCCGGGGCTCGGACCGCAGATGTGTAAATATACGGCTATTTCCTATTTTACTGTTCTTCAGATTTAGTACTTGTAAATAAACACACACATTAAGGAGAGATTAAACATTTTTGCTAAAAGCTCCTGGCTCTGGGTTTTCTTGCTGGCAGGTGTGTGGGGCTGGGGCCTGGTGGCCTGGTGGCCGGGAGGCAGGGGAGCAAGTGCGGTGTCTCCCAGGGGAGTTGAGGAGGTGCCCCCGGGGACCCTGCCCCCAAGACTGCTCGGTGCCTCAGCAGTGATCGCAGTGTGAGAGGTGCAGTCCCGGCCGCCTCTGTCTGGCCGGCCCCCAAGTGATCTGAAGCACCCCAGGCAGAGACTGTGTGCCCTGGCTCTGGGGACAACCCAGCCCTCGCCTGAGCCTGGGGCTCCAGCACTGGTGCTTTGTAGGTGCTCCCCCGAGGGCTGGCCCGGGCGCCCCCGGCTCAGAGCACACTGAGCCGCAATTCTGCACAGGTGTGCCGTGGTGTTCCTGCATCTGCCGGCGCACCCAGGCGGTACGGGCCAGGGCTAATGACGTGGCTGGTGACCTTCAGCCACTGCCAAGGCATCCCGGCTGACCCCACCCAGAGGGGTCGGGGTTATCCCCAAGTGGCAAGCAAGGGTGCCCGCGCGAGCCGTGTGGCAAGGCATGCCCAGGGTCACGTGGTGACACGCAGCAGAGCCAGGCTGAAAGGCCAGGAGGCACCGGGAGGGGTCGCAGCCCCAGAGGGCCCAGGCGGTGCCCCCGCCTGCCGCACTGTGTCCCTGCGAGGGCTCTGACAGTGGCCCATAAATCATCATCAGTAGCTCGCGCTCCCAGCAGGCCCATTCCTGACAGCCGGGGCTGCAGCGCGTCGAGCTCGGCGCCGGCCCAATTACCAAAAAGAAATCAGCGTAATCACCATGAAATTGCATCGGAAACAAATTTAGCAAACGCGATCCCGTTTAGGGTGTGACGTTGCCCGTTCTCACGCCTCAGTCCCCTTCAGCTTCCCGGCACAATCAGCCCTGCCTCTATTACCCTTGTTAGGCCTCCGAGAGCTCCAGCCCCACCAGCCCGAAATCAGGCGGCCGTCTCAGGGCAATCAGCGCTCCCTGCGCCGAGGTGATGAAGCCTAATTATGCGGGAGGCAGACGCCTTCTGATTGCCGTGCACGTCGGCTCGGCGAGGGCATCGAGAGCATCGGCTATCGATACTCTGAGCACAGCCTGGGGGGGGCGGGGGCGGGGTCTGCAGGGCTGGGCAGGCTGTGCACCGATCAATCGAACGTCTCACCTGGTTCCAGAGCAGGCACCGCACAGGGCAGACAGAGGACGAAGCAGCCCGGGGACAGGGGGAGGATGAGAGTCCAGGCTGCATCAACACCAGGGTGGGTTAAGCTGCTGCCTGTGACACCAGCAGCACAGCACAGGTTCAAGTCCTAGAGGCTCCGCTTCCAATCCAGCTCCCTGCCGGGAAAGTTGTGGAAGATGGCCTGAGTGCAAGGGTCCCTGCCTTCCACGTGGGAGACCCTGACGGAGTTCCAGGCTCCTGGTTTTGGCCTGGCTCAGCCCTGGTAGTTGCGACCACTTGGGGAGGGAACCAGCAGATGGAAGACTCTCTCTCTCTCTTCCTACCTCTCCTCCCCACCCCTACCCCTGGTCTCTCTCCTCTCTACCTCTACGGTCACTCTGCCTTTCAAGTAAAATCTTTTTACAATAATAATTATAATACCTACATGCCAAGGCAAGTGCAGATGGGTGCAGGTGCCAGGAAAGAAACACTCAGCACATGAGGGCAGTGCTGCGAGCCAGTGCCCACCCCAGCCAGGTGGACAGGGGAGGGCCGGAGGGCTGGAGCCCCAAGCAGCCAGTGCTGCGAGCCAACCGCGGTGACAGCCGAGGAAAAGCACCCTGGACTCAGCAGGAACGGCCAAAAGAGCACTGGGGGGACAGGGAGGGGCCAGCAGCAGGTGCTGACCAAGTGGAACCCCCCGAAGCTCCTGCCCCACGAGGCTGCCCCCTCAGGCTCCCTGGACACTGTGCTGTGTGTGGGCTCCGTCCCAGCTGAGCCAGGGCTGCACGCAAGCCCTGCCCAGGGCCAGCTCCACATTCCTCCACCACTCCACTCAGGCCAGGCCAGAGAAGGCTCTCGGGAAGTTCTCGTCCACCAGCCCCAGAGAGCACGAGTCTGTCGGTGGCACCTGCGACCCCAGGGCATCCCCTTTCCTCTCCAAGCCCCTGCCCTGTGTCTCGGGCTCTGCCTTCCAAACCTCTCCCACAGGTGGAGCACTGTGCGCCCCGCTGCACCTCTCAGGGGCACTCCGCACCTCCTGGGCGTCTGAGGCGGGCTGTGCCTTGGACTGGTCCCTCTGCCAACTCAGCAGGGCAGGTGTGGGACATTCCTGTCGTTCTCCACATATCTGCAGGGCCTGAGCCCAGGAGGGGCACCTGCTCAGACGGCTTTCAGCCCAGGAAAGAGCCAGAAGTCCTCTTGGCTCTCACCGGAACAGTTTATTTTCAAAATAGTTTTCAAGCCAGAAATTCCTCTGGAAACACACGTTGGGGGGGAGGTGCAGGCGGTGCTGGCGGGAACCCTGGCCTGGCGCGGGCTGCTGGGGTTTGGAGCAGCCTCCGAGGGAAGGAGGAGAGCACGTTGAACCAACAGCCCCTGCCTGGCCCTGCAGGAGGGAGACGGCTGTGCAGGGTCCAGGTGACGGGGCCTCGTCATGTGGACCCCTGCAGCAAAGAACCTCCTTCGCGGCACTGCGAGCTGAGTTTCAGTCCAGGCGCCTTTACAAGGGTCTTGGGGGTGGGGCTTACAGTTCCCAGGCAGTGCAGGGTGGGGGTGGGGCCTGTGTCCCACACCAGGTGTTTCCAGTTCCCGCCTCCTCTTGCTCCTACCAAGCTCCCAGCAGGACCAGAGTATATGGGGGAGGCAAAGACCCCTCCCTGCCTTTAGGCCCGCCTTGGAGCCTGGGCACCCGGCTGGGTCAGGGTGCTCTCTGCTGGCGATCAGAACCAGGGCATGGGGTGATGTCAGGAAGTGCCATGGTCGCAGCCGCTGGCCCACATCTCCACCGGGACTCACAAGCTGACCGGACTCCTCGCTGCCTTCATCAAAGCAGGGGCTGGTTTGCAACAGTTTTCAAGGTCATGTTCGCTGGTGGGAGCCACTGGTGGTCTGCAGCCCTGGACACTGTGCCTGGGCCCCTGGCACTTGCACCCAGAGCTGCCACGGTCCCCAGCAGGTAAGAGATTGGAGAAGTCTTAGCACCCCTGCTGGGCAGTCGGCTTTTACTCCCACCCACAGAGGTGGGGGGGGGGGCTCTCTTGGCCAGCTAGATACAGGGCCGAAGCCGTGGCTCACGCCTCGTGGCGAGGTAATCCTGGATTAGGAAGCGGCAACAGCTGCAGAACCACTCGAGTCCCGGGGCGAGTTCCCAGCACGCCCGAGAAAGGCCCATTAAGTCTCCCAGGTGGAGGCCCTTGAGGGTGGATAGGCGGGCGTTCTTGACTTTGGAATGCCTGCCAACTGAGAAGCTCCCCATAGCAACTGCCTCTCAAAATGCCTGGTGCACACACGCACGCAGGGGCAGGGTGGGTCGGAGTTCGTCCGAGTTTGGAGAAGGAATCCCTTCCTGTTCTGCTCAGGGAGTGCCGGCGGTTTGCCAGGCCTGGCCAGGTGCGAGGAGTGGGTGCTCAGAAATCCTGGGGGTGGGTCCCAGGTAGGACCACCAGGTTCCAGAAGCTGCTGAAACCGCAGGCCTAGCAGTTCCGGGGTTTGCTGCTCTGACGTCTTCCTCTGATGACTGCAGTGAGCCCCATTCGAGATGGCCGTTCCCATGACAGTCCACGGCTCTCGGTTCCGCCCGAGTTTCCTCCGTGGCAGTGGGCGTGGCCCTGCTGATCTCGTGTCCTGACCTGGGAGGGCTAGGGTCTTCTCTGTTTAGGTCCCGGCTGCATCTGCTGCCCCTGGAACAGGGCCTGACACACCGTAGGTCCTCCATAAGGACCCCTGGCCAGGCAGATGTGTGACGCTGTCACCATTATCCTCCAGCCGTGGACAGCCTTGCCTAGCAGGATAAGCTAGTCCCAGGACCCTGCGATTGGTTAGAATCAGTAACTCCTCCCATCCCAACCAGAAGGCCTGTGCCTGGCCAAGCGTCATTTCACCCCGTGTCTATGGCCTCGGCTCTGCTTTGCCCATGTGGAGCATGGTGGGCTCCGGCCCCTGGCTCTGGGGCAGACTGATCGCCAAACTTGTCCCTGCTCCGTGTGTGTGATGCTGCCCCTCCCACACAGACACAGGGTCTTCTGTCTGCCCTGTGTTGAGCCATAGGGGGTGGCGGAAGTATTGGGGAGGAGCCCTGAGGCCTGGCCCACGGAGGCCCTGCAGCACTCACTTTCCCTTGGATCACGAGGGACCACGTGGAGCAGAGGTCAAGGGCATTGGCCGAGCTCCTCTGAGCCCTGCCTGACCCCAAGCGTGAGACAGAGCCTTGGCCAGAGAACCAAGTGGCTGACCCAGGGACTTGGGGCAGTCAGAGACAGGCTTCCAGATTAAACACAGAACACTGCAAACCATCTGGGAAAAAATGAAAAGATAAGTTTATTTGGGTCCTAAAAATGCTTGAAATCATGCAGTTTTTTTTCCCAGAAAATGCATTTTCAACAGCTATTTCAAAGTATCCTCCTACAAGATGCCTCAGATAAATTCAATTTTCAGATAAAGTAAAAAAAAAAATTATGTTCTGCTGATGTCCTGTGCGAAGCCCAGTTAAACAGCAGTAGCCAAGTGACCGACAGGGTTGCCCTCAGTCCCCGCCCAGCTGTGCTGTCCCATTTGGGAGAAGCAGAGCCTACTCCCCAACCCCCACCCCTCCTCCCGGGTCCCCCACAGTAAGGGCTGGGCTGGGGCTGGCAGAAGGGGGCATCTGCCTTTGTCACTCCCCAGTCCCCGCCGGTAGACAGCGCTGTGCCGCCCCCGGCCCTGCCCTGCCAAGCCAGCTCCAAGCTGGTAAGACAGGAGGCCATCTTCACTCCTTGTTGAGCTGATGTCCAAAAGCCTCGTCTCCTTGTCTGCTGGCATCTGGCTTCCCAGAGAGAGCCTGGGGAGGAG